GAATTGCTACATCAGGCTTTCTTTTAATATATATGTATATGTATATATAGATTAGATAGATAAGATAAAAGGTTATTGGAACTAAAAACGTTTTGCTGTTGTTTTCCTTAAAACAAAAAAAGCAAGTGCAGAAGAGGTCCCACCGGGCTGTCCCACGAACACTAGTAGTAGTTCGGAGACCCGATAAAAGGACGCTTCTATTTTTCTAATCAGCAAGTGTGGCTATTGGTTTGGGATTCATATTTTTCTTTATTTTTAAAGGGGCGGGGGGATATGCTAAGAGTTTCATCATGCATCGCTTGTTTTTTTTTGGGGGGGGTGAGGGGAGCTGTTTTAATTTTTCATCCCGAATAAGACAATGGGGAAAACCAGAGGACTTGATTTATACACGTCTGCTCTTCCATCCCACCCACCCCACACCCACCCAGCTACTTTTCTCCACTTTCCTTACCCCATTAAAGGGCCAAAGCTAAAATCTTCCCCACCCCACCCCAACCCCCCAGGACAATTCCCCTCCGCTCTTTTCTCCATTGCCTGGCATTAAAACGTAAGAAAACATCGACCGAAAACTTCCTCACGAGAACTACAAAACAGACTTCACTCCGCCAAGAACGACTAAATCCAGAGAAGACATCCACACACCCCTTTCTGCCAACCTCCGCTTGGTGTGTGTGTGCGTGCGTGTGTGCGAGGTTGCCAAAGGGACCAAGAGCGCCCTAATGCGGGTCCCCAACCAGACGCCAAATCGTCTGAACCTCCTCCTGCTCCCCTCTTCCTCTCCTCCCGACACCCCGTTTTATCTACATCAGCAAGAGAATTCCTCCACCAAGAAAGCATGGAACCAAATCCACCGTCCGTCCGTTCAGTTTCCTCTCACTCTTATGCTCAAAAAAAGAAAGAAAAAGCACAATATTCTCTCTCTCCTGCCCTCCCCCCTGTATTCCCGACCCCACCCCGTTTATTTCTTCTTCTTTTGTTTCCTACTGGGATTTCTACAATCCTATTGAATAAAACA